GATACAAATGTATTGAACATACTGTTGAGAAAGGAACATTCTGTTGAGAAAGAAACATAATGCCCAAGTTTCTTGACTTCTCTCACAAAATAGCATCTCAGCATGATAGGATGAACCACATTGCATGTCAGCATGGCAGCACGAACCACATTGCATGTCAGCATGGCAGCACGAACCACATTGCATCTCAGCATGGCAGCACGAACCACATTGCATCTCAGCATGGCAGCACGAACCACATTGCATCTCAGCATGGTAGGATGAACCACATTGCATGTCAGCATGGCAGCACGAACCACATTGCATCTCAGCATGGTAGGACGAACCACATTGCATCTCAGCATGGTAGGATGAACCACATTGCATCTCAGCATGGTAGCACGAACCACATTGCATGTCAGCATGGTAGGACAAACCACAATGCATCTCAGCATGGTAGGATGAACCACATTCGTGACTTTGCTACATTAGTTTAGAGAGAAACATAAAAAAATAGAAAAATATTCTGCTTTTTTTTTTTTTACATCCATGGCAAAAAGGAGAGCTTGTGGTGAACATTCGTTCTGGCAATGCCCTTATCTGTGGAATGTACCGAGACATTTTCCATTCACAAAAACCCAACAACACCGCAATCACAAACCAGCGACAACGATGGCTGTCCTAAAAAACTGGACAATAAATAGTTCTTCTTCCACGATACAGCACAGGAATACAAGACTACAACAGTAACAACCATTAAATAGATTATAATTATATTATTTTATAGATAGATATATAGATAAATGGAGTAGGGATGCTATTTGCTTGCACGTCCATTTTTGTTCAGTTTTCCCAACCCCAAAGTGAGTAAATACACACAAACACACACACACACACACACACACATAGTTGTTCACAGACACACACACACACAAACACACACACACACACATAGTTGTTCACACACACACACACACACACACACATAGTTGTTCACAGACACACACACACACACACACAGAGTTGTTCACAAACACACACACACACACATAGTTGTTCACAGACACACACACACGCACACACAGAGTTGTTCACACACACACACACACACACACACACACACACGCACACACGCACACACACAGAGATAAATATAGACATAAACACGCACAAATTATATTGCTTTCCAAAGACCCACCCTGTGTCTTTTTGATTAGTCAGCCAATCATGAGTTCTACCAAGATGTATACAGAGATCTAGATAATGTGTCACGACGCGGTGGAATCAGGCGCTCGTCAATTATGGGACATAAGGAGCTATTGGTATCGTCTAAATTCCATCTTAATTTCATTTGTCTATTTGCCTTGCTTTTGATGAAAAAACTATCCCATCTATGTTGGCTACAAGTCAAGATATTGGCCATTGAAGGAGGTGGGGGGTCGCCTGGTTTCAGAGGTAAAGTTAGCGAGAAAATGGCCGCCAGAGTTGAGTTATTTCTTTAGCTTGAGAGTCAGTGGAAACTGAACATTTACGTTTTGTATGTCTTTGATCAACGTTGTTCAGTTCCACACAGAAATGTTTTCTTTGTTTGGAATGAAAAGTGTTGAGCAAAAAAACCCAAAATTCAATGAAAAATTCCCAAACCTGCGGAAAAATGCCAATTTCTCGACTTTCATTCTTTTGACGAGCGCCTGATTTCACCACGCTGCCTCACATATGATCACATGTTCTTTATCATGAAAGTGACAGGAAAAATGTGATTAAGTACAGAGAAACTCTAGAAATAAAACTCCAATCCACCCACAGCCCCAGGAAACCCTAGGACAAAGATTGTGAAAGAACTGACTTGAAAACCTCAACACAACGTCGAAAAACCTCGGGACTTCATCAGCATCGCGCGACCCCAGTGCTTTCTTGTCCTATCTCCATTTTTAATAACAGTGAAAACAGTTCATAACAAAGAGTGAGCTTAAGAAGAAGTCACATTTTCATTATAAAAAAAATGGAGATAGGACAAGAAAGCACGGAGGTCGCCATCGGGTCACAGTTGACAACGTCACCACCGACCCATAAAAACGGCCATCTCATCTGACTCTCACACGCACGCACAAGCCGACTAACCAATCAGCAGACAATTTCACCTCCGTTATTTGACAAATACAAGCGTTAGTTTGATCATTTCAAAAATCGAATTCAGACAGTAATTTGGCTTTACCAGGGTTGTGGGGCAGCTAAAAATTGTGTTTTGGGGTGAAATTACGAAAACTGGGCGGGGTTATTACTTATTACATGGATATTTCCTGGATATTTCCTGGATATTTCCTGAACAATGTCCAAAAACATATGTAAGCGTTTCTGTACCCAAAAGTGATGTTTGGAGGGATTTTAGAGCAGAGAGAAGAGACTTTTCAAAGGAAAATAATAGCTACTTTTCGTCTCAAAAAAGCGTGTATATGACCTTATGCAGTTGCGAGCGCCATAAAACCCTCTACTATTTTTTTAAAAAGCGTGTTTTTCACCACTCATATGCTTTAGTACCAGTAGGACAACTCCGTTCTACTTCTGCTGTGTTGACATCATCAAGTAATAATAAATAATAATAAATAGCATTTGTATAGCGCATATCCCCGCTCAACAGCAGGCTCTATGCGCTTTACACTATATTATTACCCCAGCAGACCATAGAACACTGAAACATTCTCAGCTTCCCGGGAAGCATACAGTGCAAGCAGCTGATTAAGCGCTCAAACACTAACAAACTGACAAGATCTTTCGCTGCCTATAGCCGGGTACCCATTCCCACCTGGGTGAAGTGAGGAAAATTCGTGTAAAGTGCCTTTCCCAAGGACACAACGTCGGGTCCCTGACGGGATTCGAACCCACGACCTTACGGTTGCGAGTCCCGGAGCCTAACCACTAGGCCACCGACGCCATGTATTAGTTTGAAACATGTTCTGAAAGTCATTAATGGAAAGAGAACTATTTTGGCACTTAGTCGGACCTTTATCGGCCGTCTTCTCAAAATGCAAATGTTTCCACCCTTCCCCCCATTTTTCTGCTCTATTTCTTACTCAATTTTAACGTAACTTTCACACAATGTTAACAACACCTAGGTTCTAAAAAATTGTCTTGAGGAATTTTCCATTGCATATGAAGCTTTTGATAAATTGCTTCCGAAAGCTTGATTTTTTCCCCGTTTTTTTTTTCACAGACGATTTTTAAGTGCCATAAAATGAAAACTAAACCATAATAAACCAAAAATTTCTCAGGTCTATTTTTAGATCTATACTTTTTCTACGTCCATACTAAATTACAAGTGTGTCGATAAACATGTGAAAACAATGGGATCAAAAGAGGTAAACAACATCCAATATGGCCACTGTTTCCATAGCAACTGAACCATATTTACTTTTTCTAACAATAGATTTCAAATCCTCAAATGATACGTTGATGTCTCACAGAAAATATGAGCTCTCTAGGCCACTCTAGGGTTTGCAATAGCAGAGATAGCCTCCGGGTGCCCCACCACCTCTGAAAAAATTGGACTGGGTCTGTTAGTTTAAGTACAAAGTGGCAAAATGAAATAAAGGTCGACACACTTTCAACAACATTCTTTACAGTAAAGTTAATGCCATGAAACAAGAAGTAATTTTGAACATGAGCATGCAATGTAACGGTTAGAACAGGCAATGGCGATGGGAAAAATAGATTTTGACGGAAAAAAATGAAACACTCATCAAACAAGAGAAAGCAAATCAGCTTGGGTATCTAATCATTTAAATCATGTACAGGCCAAGAGCACAATTCACAAATTTCTGCGCAGCTTTTTATTGGAAAGCAATTTTCCAATTTTTATTTGAGTCATGATGTTTCTTCCAAGTCTGGTTACATTGTTCTGTTGATTCAAGACTGCAAGAACGAATTTACTCATTTGTCGCTAAACTGATGCTTTGAAAAAGTGAAATTAGATATTTTCGTTTCCTAAATTACAAATCCTTTCCAAGTTTTCACTAACAATAATAAGTAGATCTACTTATAAATAATGGAAAATGTTAAGAAACAAAACGGAGGAATCCCATCACGGCCGATATATTGGCGATACGTCTGAAAGGGGTGTGGACTGGCCCCAAAATAGCGGCAATACGTTCGGAAAGAGTTAATCTCCGCAGAAATGTTTTTAAATGGACATAAAAGGTGTTGAAACATAAAAACAAAACTTTTTAAAAATATTGTCAAATCGGCGTAAAAATGCAAATTTCTTCCATTTTAGTATTTTTTTGACGAGCAGTTGATTTCACCACGATGCCTCTCTCTCTCTCTCTCTCTCTCTCTCCCTCTCTCTTTCTCTCTCTCTCTCTCTCCCTCTCTCTTTCTCTCTCTCTCTCTCTCTCTCTCCCTCTCTCTCTCTCTCCCTCTCCCTCTCTCTCTCTCTCTCACACACAAACACACATATTATATATATATATAAATATACATCAATAAGAGAATAATATAATGTCCTTAGAGATAGGCACATAGATATTTGCATCCAAGGTGTGAGAGACTGGAAATGATGACCAGGAGACTTTCACACAAAGCTGACCGACTGCATAGACACAGAGAGGGGCAGCATACCACCCTCGGCCACACACAATTGGTCGCTTTTAAGCACAAGGTCAAGGGGGCTATCCCGAAAAAAGCTATTTTGAGAAAATCGAAGGTAAAATTTTTGCCCTTTGTTCAGTTTCTTTAAAAGAAAAGGAGAGTTTTCTTTATCATCATCATCATCATCATTATTGCCTTTCTCACCCTGCACCAGGGTATAGGCCACAGACCAACACTTTCACCTTTCTCTATCCTGGACTTGCCTCTTGATGTTATTCCATGTCTTCCCACTTTTCTGGACATCAATTTCTGTGATTCTTCTCCAGGTTCCACGCGGTCTTCCCCTTGATCTCTTACCCTGTGGGTTTTCTCTATAACCAATCAAATATACACACCAATAAAACCAAACTTTTCCTATAGGTAGGACAATGCCCACTTTTGGTGTAGGTCGAGATTTCTGGAAACCCCCGAAATCTGGGTTAGCCCGCTTGTCCTTAAAGGCGACCAAGTCTAAATACACTGTGGTGTTAGTGGTCTAGAGGTTACGCTGTTGGGCTTGTAAGTGTTAGCTCATGGGTTTGAATCCCATCAGGGACCTGACGTTGTGTCCTTGGAAAAGACGCTGGACACTTACCCCGGTGGGAATGAGTCTCGGCTATTGACGGCCAAAGATCTTGTAGGTTTGTTCGAGCTTAAACGCGTGTAATCAGCACCTTGCACTGTACGCTTCCTGAGAAGCTGAGAATGTTTTTGGGTGTTCTGGTTCTAGTTCCAGAGTCTGCTGGGGTAATAATCTATATATAGTTGTAAACAGGGCTCATACTGAGCGGGACATTTTTTTTCCCCAAGACTTTTCCAAGAGTTTTCAAGACCAGATTTCTTTTTTCCAAGACAAAAGATGTGTCATTTCGGAAGAAAATTGTTCATTCAGCGGCACAAATGCATTATGGTACACTCCTGACTGCGTTCCGTCGAAGCTTTCTAAACTCCGAGGAAATATTTTTACAATAGATCTAGTTAAAAATTTGTTTTTCAAAGACTTTTCCAAGAATTTTGCTCCAAAATTCCAAGAGTTGTCCATGTCTTGGAAAATAAAAACAAATTCCAAGAGTTGTCCCAGACCTGTATGAGCCCTGTATACAGCAGACAGAGCTTGCTGTAGAGCGTAGATGTGTGCTACAGAAAAACACAAACGTATCATTATAATGATATCATAACAACAAACACAGACAGAGGAACTCCGTACCCTGACCCCAGCCTTCTTCCGCCAGGTATTGCCACGAAAAAAAGTAGAGAATTCACAACCAGTATCACCTCCCCCCTCCTCTCCCCCCCCCCCCCCCCCCCACACACACACAGCAGGACTAAACTTCCACTGGGTCCGTGGCGTCGTTGGGGTCAAATGGGAAAACGTCAAGGTCACCTCCGCTGTTCTCCGAATCCTCGCCGCTGCAGATCAGAAAAAACAAACACTGTGAGAAGTTTCCATAATTTTTTAAAAAATAGCTCGACAAAAGATGTTGAACTTTCGGAACATGAACAACATGATATAGATGGGGAGGCTGACAAAAGATCGTATCTGCGTAGATGGGCAGTATTATCCAGTGCCAGATCTGCGACAGACATCGGCGATCATGGTTCTCCATTCATTCCTTTGCTCGGATGCTCTCAAAAAAGCCACGTTTCCCTGATCTTTCCCTGTTACCCATTTGTTTAGGTTCCCTAAGTAGGTTGCTCTGGGCCTACCCCTGCCTCGTTTGTCTTCAGTTTTGCCAGTGAGAGCTAGATGTTCAAGACTCTTGTCTTTTAAGGTGTCCTAAAAACTGCATTTGTCGTTTCCTGATTGTTTTTAACATTGAGAGTCCCATGTGCGCAGATGATGGAAAGCCTTATTTTTGCAGCTTTATCCATCTGGCACACAATTTGTTAAGTAAGTAATTCCTTCACATACAGCTTTATGTCTCTCATACAATCGGGAATATCCACATATTTTCCCAAAACTTTATCAAATTTACGCTGCGGTCTCCCAATGGAAAAGTGCAAATCGATTTTAGTGCCAGAATACATTGACCTTGACCATCAAGATTCATGTATTGTGAGGCCAGAATACATTGACCTTGACCATCAACGTTCATGTGTTGTGAAGCCAGAATACATTGACCTTGACCATCAACGTTCATGTATTGTGAAGCCAGAATACATTGACCTTGACCATCAACATTCATGTATTGTGAAGCCAGAATACATTGACCTTGACCATCAACGTTCATGTGTTGTGAGGCCAGAATACATTGACCTTGACCATCAATGTTCATGTATTGTGAAGCCAGAATACATTGACCTTGACCATCAACGTTCATGTATTGTGAAGCCAGAATACATTGACCTTGACCATCAATGTTCATGTATTGTGAAGCCAGAATACATTGACCTTGACCATCAATGTTCATGTGTTGTGAGGCCAGAACACATCCACATCACTACACACAAACAGTATCTGTTACACTTCAGAAATTCCTTACTTTTCTTAAAACAGTAAGTCTCTCGGTTTTGTAAGTAGACTTAAAAACAGGGTCAACTTGCAGTAACTGGGTTTTCAAAATAATTTCTAGCTTTCCAGTGACACTGAATCAGCACCAGACGTTTCCAGCTTTTATTTCTGTTTCTATAACCATTTGCAATAACTAACAAAGTTCTGATTTATATCTTTAATTACACTCGTAAATGTCCGCACATTTTTCCAACACAAAAACGAAGAATGAACCATGGATTAGCTGTCATTGTTTTTGTTCCATACAAGAAGTTTATCTCTACCCGTGTATTTATGTATTTACACGGTTTGCTGTTTTCAGAAAATCACATGTCTCTCTTTCTTTCTTTCTTTTTTTTTCTGAGGTTTAACGGCGCTCGCAACTGCAAAAGGTCATGACATATGAGCGCCACATGATTAGAGGTGTTACAAGAGACAACAACAACAACAACAGTTAACTCCTGGATCGATAACAACAACAACAACAACAACAGTTAACTCCTGGATCGATAACAACAACAACAACAACAGGTAACTCATGGATCAATAACAACAACAACAACAACAACAGTTAACTCATGGATCGATAACAACAACAACAACAGTTAACTTACTCATCCTCACAACTGCTGGCAGACGGCGACCTTGAGTTTGGCAGGTCTCCCAGGAAGGTGGACATGACGTTGCTGCGGTCACTGTAGGAGCTGCCCGGGGCGTAGAGCTCCCCATCCTGTACAGGCATTGGGTTCGGGTCGTAGTAGTGACCATTGGCAAAGTAGCCCATAGTCGGAGCAGACGTGCTGGCTTTCCCGTGTTTGGCTGTCAGTGAGCTGGATTTCTTGATGGCGTTGGGGTTGGTAATGATGTTTTTTTTGACACTTTTGGCACTCTCTATCCCGCCGCCCGGTGGAGCGGCTCCTGGATATTTGGCACGTGCGGGTTTTTGGGCGGGCACCGGGCGGTCTGCGGCGGGTTGGTTGGGTTTCAAAGTCCTTTTTCTCATCTCAACCACGGCTTCTCCGTCGAAACCATCAACTTTCGAAATTGTCTGCACGGATTCCGAGGCAAGGTTCTCCTTATTGGAGCTCCTTTCCAGCGAAGAATTGTGAGCCTCCGATTTCTCACCACCGTCTATCAAGAAACTTTGAAAATCCTCGCGGCGCAGAAAAGTGGATGTGCGCGACTCAGCGCCGGGGTTGCTTTCTGCTTTACCAGCGAAAATGTTTTGGATATTGTCGTCAGCTTCTAGCGAGCGGATCAGAGCTCCGTTGGGCACCGAGGGAGTCCGGCTGATCGTGGCAAAACCTGGCCGTTTGCTCCGCCCAAAAGTCCCGTGATTGACAGGCACGGGCACAGAGCTGTAGGGGCTGGCCACGGCCGGCGGGATCGGTGATGAGTGACCTTGACTGCTGTCAGGGGTCGCGTACACCGGGCTTGTCGGAGCTTCCAGGCCAAGGTCAACCGTGGAGATCTGGGCCACGGGGAGCTCTATGGTACCTCCGGAGGAAGACTGGGGAAAAAGAGAACACGGAACTACAGCGGCCAGACGATGAAGAATGATACATGAATCAATAAATAACATTTGAGAGGCGTGCTGACAAAACAAGTTACTTCTCGCGAACCAAGAAAGGAGATATTGGCTGAAAATCGATGCTGGGGTCAGATTTATAGATTTTCCATTGATGCCAATTTGTTCAAGACTAACTTGTCTTTTATAATTAATTCCATACTTACAAATTGTACAAACTCCATCTATAAAGTTGATGTATAAATTTTCATAAGGCTAAAATCTGAAAAGTAACTCATTTTGTCAGCACACCCCACATTTGTGTCACTTGGCGCTGGAATCAGGAGCTGCGCAATGTTTGGGCATATAGTTATCTGTATAAAGTCTGCTCACTTGTCTTGATTTTGATGAACAAAATGTCCATCTATCTTGAAAAAAGATGAGAAATTTACGATTAAAGGAGGTGTGGGTCGCCTAGTGACAGAGGGAAAATTTGCGAGAAAATGGCGGCCAAAGTTTGGTGACTTTCAAAGCCTGAGAGTCCTTGGAAACTGTACATATATTTTTTGTGCCTTTGATCAAAGTTTTCCGTAAAATCCATACAGAAATGTGTTTTTAAATGGACATTAAAGGTATAGGGGCAAAGAAAAAGAAGTGCTGAACTATAAAACCCGAAATGTCCGACAGGAAGAGAGGCCAGAAAGAAGCAGTCATGTGACCAGACTGACCTGCTGCTCTCGGTGGTCGTCCAACATCTGCTGCGCCCAGTGCAGTAGTCCCGGGGCGTCCGACGGGATACTGACCACTGGGTCCTTCTTGTGGAGTAGTACCAGAACACGGCATAGCTGGTGAATCACTCCTCTGGGGGAGGCGGGGAGGGGGGGGGGGGAACCCGTTGCCACACTCGTTATGACCGTATCAATCATTGTCAACCCTTTGAATCACTCCTCTGGGGGGGGGGGCACACACGTTATGACAGTATCAATCATTGCTCAACGGGTGAATCACTCCTCTGGGAGTGAGAAGTTGTTTTAGTTTTAGTAGAGGGTTTTACGGCGCTTGCAACTGCATGAGGTCATATGAGGGCCAAGGGGTGGATGTCAACAGAGAAGTCCTAACAGGGAATCAGACTTACTCTGCTCACCTCTTTAGCTTCAACAGCACAAAGTCTGCTTCGATTATCAAAGCACCCCGGAAATAGCGAGTCACAAGTGTGTGACAAACATACAAAAGAATTAGAGGAAAATGACGATAGTAAGGATTAGGAAAGAAAAAGCAGCAGTTCCCTGTTGTAGATCAGGCACAGTTATGAATGTGACATTGATGAATCAGCCCATTTACAATTTTACTGAGCATGAACGAGAAATGTCCCCCCCTTTGGGATTGGCCAAAAGACACTTCAGTCACTGGCACCGCCCCGGGGGTGGGTTAGTTGGGGGTACACGTTATGACAGTATCAATCATTTCTCAACTGTGGGAGACAACAAGCCAAAGGCCAGTAAAAGAAGACATACAGGAGAAGAAATGAAAATGGATTGGACACACCCTGAGGAGACCCCCGACAAGCATCATCGGACAGGCTTTAACGTGGAACCCACAAGGAAAACGTAAGAAGGGAAGACCAAAGATGACATGGAGGCGAGCAGTATCAGCGGAAATTGAAAAAACGGGGACATCATGGAAACAGATAGAAAAGGATGCACAGGACAGGCTTCGCTGGAGTAATGCTGTTGATGGCCTGTGCTCCACTGGGAGGTAAAAAGGGCGAGAGAGAGAGAGAGGGAGGGAGAGAGAGAGAGAGAGAGAGAGAGAGAGAGAGAGAGAGAGGGGGGAGAGAGGAGAGAGAGAGAGGAGAGAGAGAGAGAGATAGAGAGAGAGAGAGAGAGAGAGAGAGAGAGAGAGGGAGGGAGAGAGAGAGAGAGAGAGAGAGAGAGAGAGAGAGAGAGAGAGAGAGAGAGAGAGAGAGAGAGAGAGAGAGAGATAGCCTCAGCATGTCGCGACATCAGTGCTTTCTTATTGTTTCTCCATTTCTTGAACAGTGAAAATGTGACTTCTTCTTTAAGCTCACTCTTTGTTATGAACTGTTTTCACTGTTATTAATAATGGGGATATGACAAGAAAGCACTGAGGTCGTGAGGTATTACAATAGTTCCTTCATTTCATTCTGTACACGTTTTGTTTCGATTAGTTTAGTAAGAGTTTTAAGGCGCTCACAACTATGTAAGGTCATATGAGCACGCGAAACACAAGTTGCTTGCAATCCCAGCAGTTCACAGCATGGCTTGGTTTTCCTTTATGATAAGGCTAAACATCTCAAGACAAAAATCCAGTTTTTAAAAGTTTAAAAATAAAGACAGCAATTTACATTTTAAAAGAACAATTATCTACATTTTAAAGTAAAGGCCAATGGCCTTTATAAAATCAAAAATTCAAAATATTTCTTTCAGGTCTCTCCTGAAGTCCAGACATTAAATATCCCTTGTTCCCTCAAATAAAAACATGAGTCAGAAGTAAAAGACCTAGTCTTCTGATCTGCAACAAAGAAAGATACAGAAGGTCATTCTTACCATCATCCATCAAAATGCTTCCATCTTAACCATCTTGTTACAAGTATTCATATGACCTTAGAGCATGCATCAGAATACCATTGAGTTACAGTCAGAATACTGAGTATGTATCTAGCTTAAGATTATTAGTGTTTATACCACTGTTCATTTTTATCATGCATGTCACTGTAAGTCTGTGTTAGTGTGCATGTGTGCGTGTGTGTGTGCGCGCGCGCGTATGCATGTGTGTCTGTGTATGTGTGAGTGTGTGTGTGTGTGTGTGTGTGTGTGTGCGCGCGCATGTATGCATGTGTGTCTGTGTGTGTGTGTGTGTGTATGTGTGCGTGCATGTATGGATGTGTGTCTGTGTCTGTGTGTGTGTGCGCGTGTATGTCTGTGCGTGCGTGTGTGTATGTGTGTACGTGGTGAAACACCAAACCAATGTGCCAGGATCTGGACAATAAAGATGTATCTTATAAAAGACGAATCTTATCTCATCTTATCGTATCTTACTTGTATGTGGGGAGCCGTGGGTCGGAGGCGGCCATCGCTCGGGTCTTGCTCCGTGTCTGACTCAGAAGAGCCATCAGCGTGTCGGCCTGGGGGCGGAGCCTGTCCAGCTCATTAGCATATTCCAGCGGGTCGATCCGGTGCGGGGAGTAGTCTGCTTGGCTCTCTGTCTCTGCTCAAATCCGACGTAAAAATTAGCAAACATAGTTGTGCAAAATCAAGACACTCCATCCCCCCCCCTTCTATCTATTCTCCCCCCCCCCCCACTCTTCCCTGCCTCCCCTCCTTTCTCCCACTCCTCCCTCTACCCCACTCCTTCCTCCCTCCTTCTCTTTCCTCCTCCACTCTTCCTCCCTCCCTCTCTTTCCTCCTCCACTCTTCCTTCCTCCCTCTCTTTCCTCCTCCCTCTCCTCCACCCATCCTTGCCTCCCTCTCTTCCCTCCTTCCTCCCTCTCTTCCCTCCTTCCTCCCTCTCTTCCCTCCTCCCTCCCTCTCTTCCTTCCTCCTCCTCCCACTCCCCACCTTTTCTCCCCATGCACACAAGAAAGAAGTAAAACTAGAAAATATTTATAACATTTCTGAAAGTTTGGTAAATGTTCAGTTTCCACTTGACCGACATTTTGGTAAATGTTCAGTTTCCACTAGACTGAAAGTTTGGTAAATGTTCAGTTTCCACTAGACTGAAAGTTTGGTAAATGTTCAGTTTCCACTAGACTGAAAGTTTGGTAAATGTTCAGTTTCCACTTGACCGACATTTTGGTAAATGTTCAGTTTCCACTAGACTGAAAGTTTGGTAAATGTTCAGTTTCCACTAGACTGAAAGTTTGGTAAATGTTCAGTTTCCACTAGACTGAAAGTTTGGTAAATGTTCAGTTTCCACTTGACCGACATTTTGGTAAATGTTCAGTTTCCACTAGACTGAAAGTTTGGTAAATGTTCAGTTTCCACTAGACTGAAAGTTTGGTAAATGTTCAGTTTCCACTAGACTGAAAGTTTGGTAAATGTTCAGTTTCCACTAGACTGACAGTTTGGTAAATGTTCAGTTTCCACTAGACTGACAGTTTGAGTTTGGTAAATGTTCAGTGTCCACTAGACTGACAGTTTGGTAAATGTTCAGTTTCCACTAGACTGACAGTTTGGTAAATGTTCAGTTTCCACTAGACTGAAAGTTTGGTAAATGTTCAGTTTCCACTAGACTGACAGTTTGGTAAATGTTCAGTTTCCTTTAGACTGAAAGTTTGGTAAATGTTCAGTTTCCACTTGACTCAAAGTTTGGTAAATGTTCAGTTTCCACTTGACTCAAAGTTGACAGGGAACAGTGGAAAATTACAATGACAAAAACTTAGTGTGTGAACCAAGGAATGTGCGTAGACGCAGAGAGAAAGAGAGAAGGAAGAAAGAAAGAAGGAACGAAGGAACATGAGATTGTGCACATAGAGAGAGAGAACATGAGATTGTGCACAGAGAGAGAGAGAAAGAAAGAAAGAAGGAACATAAGATTGAGAAGAGAGAGAGAGAGAAAGAAAGAAAAAAGGAACATGAGATTGTGCAGAGAGAGAGAGAGAAAAAGAAAGAAAGAAGGAACATTAGATTGTGAAGAGAGAGAGAGAGAGAAAGAAAGAAAGAAGGAACATAAGATTGTGTACAGACAGAGAAAGAAAGAAGGAAGGAACATGAGATTGTGCACAGACAGAGAGAGAGAGAAAGAAAGAAAGAAGGAACATAAGATTGTGAAGAGAGAGAGAGAGAAAGAAAGAAAGAAGGAACATAAGATTGTGCACACAGAGAGAAAGAAAGAAAGAAGGAACATGAAATTGTGCAGAGAGAGAGAGAGAGAAAGAAAGAAGGAACATAAGATTGTGTACAGAGAGAGGGAGAAAGAACGAAAGAAGAAACATGAGATTGTGCACATAGAGAGAAAGAAAGAAAGAAGGAACGAAGGAACTTGAGATTGTGCGCAGAGAGAGAGAGAGAAAGAAAGAAAGAAGGAACATGAGATTGTGCACACAGAGAGAAAGAAAGAAAGAAGGAACGAAGGAACTTGAGATTGTACACAGAGAGAAAGAGAAAGAAAGAAAGAAAGCAGGAACATGAGATTGTGCACACAGGGAGAAAGAAAGAAAGAAAGAAAGAAGGAACATGAGACTGTGCAGAGAGAGAGAAAGAAAGAAGAAAAATGAGATAGTGCATAGAGAGAGAAAGAAAGAAAGAAGGAACGAAGGAACTTGAGATAGTGCACAGAAAGAGGGAGAAAGAAAGAAAGAAAGAAAGAAAGAAGGAACATGACATAGTGCAGTGAAAAAGAAAGAAGAAAAACGACATTGTGCAAAGAGAAAGAAAGAAAGAAAAAAAGCAGGACAAACGAATAGGCCAACCATGTGGCTGTACAGAAGTAAATGTGTCACACAACAACAACGACGACGCGGTGGAATCAGGCGCTCCTCAATTTCTGGACAGGTAGAGTTACTGGAATCATCGGAAAGCTTATTCATTTGTCTTGCTTTCAATGAAAAAAACACCCACACATCTATACTGAATAGAAGTCGAAATATTTGCCATTGAAGGAAGTGGGGGTTGAATGGTTTCAGGGTTCAGGGGTAAAATCATCGATAAAATGGCCGCCAAAGTTTGGTAACTTCTATAGCTTGATAGTCCTTTAAAACTGAAAATGTACATTTTTTGTGCCATTAATCAACGTTTTTCCGTAAAATTCACATAGAAATGTGTTTTTATTTGGACATAAAAGATGTCGAGCGAAAAAACAAAAATTTGATAATTAAAATTGTCGAACTGGAGGAAAAATGCCTGTTTCTTTGATGACTTCATTATTTTGATGAGCGCCTGATTTCACCACGATGCCTCAAAAATGACAAAGATTTTGTGACATCTGTCAGCAGGTCACTCACCGAAGCCGTCGTTCTGGTACGTGGGGAACTGAAACATACACGCGATCACAGCAGTGAGTCAGTTTAGTTTTAGTTAGAGTTTTAAGGCACTTGCAACACAATAAGGTCATATACGTGCCAAAGATTAGAGATGTTACAAGAGAGTAACAAACACAAAAATGAAGGAGGGGAGATAGAGACGATAGATTTTTTGGAGGAAAGAAGGAGCAAACCACACCAGATCACCCACCAACCACCCACTGCACTTAGCACGGGCTTGATCCTCCACTGAAATAAGTTTTAAAAGAACTGAATCAAATAAAGAACTGTTTATAATTTTTAAAAAGAATTGTTTAAACATCAAATACAGGGCTGTTTCTACATCTAAATACAGGGGAAAAAAAAAAAAAGATTTGAGAATCATTCTTATATTATTATTGTTTCCAGAACTCAGAAGAGCAGCCTATCAATTTAC